TGGTAGAGCCCTCCATCCTGATGGGAGGAAAGAAGCAGCCCAACAACTGCAGTGTATTTATTTGTAAATGTGGGATGCTGTTGTCTACTGAAACCCCTCTGCCTAGCAATATGTTTGCTTAGCTCACCCTGGGTGCTTTATAATCTGGGAGCTAGAACAGCAGGTCCACAGGGCTTACCTGGGTGTTCTGTGTTCTCAGGGCAGGTCTTGCTTTAGCCCCACACATGGGGTCCATCTCCAGCTTCCAATAGTATATTCTGTATCTGCCAGAACAATGCATACACACTTCAACAGCTTGCTATTGTAAAGCATGTCTGGAAGCTCATGGGCACCACTTTGAGCTCCTCCTGTAAATGTAGAGGCCAAGGTACTTGTGTTAATCTCAAGCAGTCTTAGTAAAGTTATTGTTGCAGTGTTTGTATAAGTTTTTCCTTTCCTGTTCTCTACATATTTTAGTAGACTCTGTACACGCGTTATTACTACAGGTCATCTACCACAGTGTAAAACCAAACATTGAAGGAAATGATTCAGGTAGATTTTCAACCTGGTGCCATCTCCTTGCTTTGTGTCTTTGTTAGGTGTCAAAGCCTTTGGTGCTCACTCCCACCCAACATACTCAGTGTGACTCAGTCATTTCTAAATAGGGCTTTGAATATTTGATTTATCATGAGAATATAGATGAGCCAAAATGAAGCAATTGACATCTATTTTGAAGGAAAAAAATATACCCTATGTTTCTAGAAGTATTCTTGCATTTTGTTCCTTGGTGGTATTAGGGAGAGAATCCAGGATCTTCAGAATGAGCTACATCTCCAGTATCTGCTTCTTTTTTCACTTTTATTTTGATACAGGATCTCCCTAAGTCCCTAAGTTGCCCAGACTGGGCTTGAATATGTAATCCTCCCACTTCAACCTTCCAGACTGCTATAGTTATAGAAATAATAATTATATTATTATTACTGCCATGTGGAATTTTTACAATGCCCCTTATATTGCAATATGCTCATAGATATCTATATTCTCTGAAGAGATGATTATGAATGATTGATTGAATGAGTGAAAAAATGGATTTGTTTAAAAGATGTCTTGAGGGCTGGGGAGATGGCTCAGTAGGATAAGTGCTTGACTAGCAAATGCAAGGATCTGAGTTCAATCCCTGGTTCTGCCTAAAAATAAAAATAAAAATAAAAATAAAAGATGTCTTGGTTTTCCGGGTGGAAAAGATGAATTGTAACATTTACATTTCTGGAATTGTACCATACAAAGGGCAAATATTTCATTGCTTTTGCTTTATTTCACTATTTTTATATTAATTTTATTGAGAAAGAAGTATCGATGAGACAGTTTCAAAACAGGTGAGTAGGCCAGTTACAATAATTAATACATTGCATATTGTTGTCTTCATAGTAGTTATTCATAGTATAAGAGGCAGACATGATATCTTGTATTTCACTGTTATTTGCATAAGAAGTACTGTTCTTCATTTCTCCTGGCCAGTGTGTGTTTGAAAATGTAGTTCACATTGAGTAGTCAGTGACAAGGCTTCTTCTCCAGCCAGGTTCAGTGGTGACTTGGATGCCCCCAGGGATGCTGTGGTGTGTAGGGTCCTGCCTAGGAAAGGCCCAGGAGGGTACATTGCCTTTGCAGTCAGCCTATGTGTTCTTTTTTTTAAATTTGTGTGTGTGTGTGTGTGTGTGTGTGTGTGGCCAGCTCAGCCCACCAGGGGGCGGGGCTGGCTGGCATGTGGTGCTGGGGGATTGAACTGCAGTCCCTTTGCTTTGCTAAGCTTGTTCTAAGTAGGTCCTTTAGACCACTGAGATATCTCACCAGCCAGCCTATGTGTTCTGATTGGAGTACATCCCATTAAATCACCTGTCAGTAAAATACTGGACAGAAATGCGGATGCAAGAACTAGTCTAGATCATTATACTAAGTCATCTTACTGTCTCATTTACTCCTTAGGCCGATAATATAAACATAAATGTTAGCCTTCTTTAACAGAAGAAAACTGAGGCCCAGAAATATGGAGCAAACGACTTGCTAAATGTCTCACATCTTGTAAAGGAAATAGCTAGGATGGAAGCTTTCCAGGGTTTGCTCTACAAGACTGCCTCTCTGTGAGCTGCCTGGCTGAACTCATAGCTGGGCTCCACCTTTGTGGGTGCTTCTGTGGCGGGGGAGTAAGCTGGCTCTTTACAAGAAAACAATAGCAAAGCAGTCTGCATGTCTGGAGACTGAGTAGCCTGGTAGGAAATTTAGTAATCCCTTTGCTTCGTCCAACCATCACTGTCTCTTGTTCCCTGACTTCCATCCAAGGTTCCCAAATATTAATATGAATCATGGATCATTCTGTATATGCAGCCCTGGAGAATAATTAGAAATCCTCATTACTTGGAATGTTCTTTAACATAGAACTTAAAAAAAAGCTGTTTCTATTCTCTTGAATGAAATCTGATGAATAGTAAAACAAAGTTAAATTAGAAAAGACTGTGTTCATGAATGAGCAATAATAGCAAGAACTGATGCTAACTTCTAATTTACTTCATTAAGACTTGCTCTTAATAAGTAACTTTTTGTAGGTCTTCAAAATGCATACTCCAAGTCTACTAAGTGAACTCTGAAAAATTCAGAACTTTTAAACACAATAAGTTCTTATTTTACCCTTTCATTTCTTCATTCTTTCATTCAACAATATTTGTACCCACTTAGTGAGTACTTACAATAATTTGAAAGATTAAATTTGAAAATATAATCGCTTGCCAAGAAAAACTCATTTCATTCTCTTTTTTTGTTTCTCTACACCATAAGAATAATTTATTTTGTGTTTTTTCTTGCTGTCCTGATCAATGTTTAGATTTACATTAAGCAGTAGATTTTTTCTTTTGTTGTCTGTCTCTCTTACTTCATCTTTGATACACAGAAACTGTACCTACTTATGAGGTACTGCATGGTGTCTTGATGTGTGTGTGTTGTTTAAAAATCACATCTTGGTATTTAATATGCCCATCTCCTTTGGTAGAATAAGGTGTCCTCATGAAATAGCCCAAATCATTCGATGCCATAGCACTTCCAGGATAATAAAATTCAGGACCCTTAAGCCATTTCATAGTCTTAGTCATGTGGCATTGGAGAAAATTTTCATGTTAAAATTGTCAAGCATATCCTAAGTGTACCACATGCACATAAAGGAACAGCAAGCAGTGGACAATCGCTAGCCTCCTCATGATCATCATTATTCTCAGAGGACTGAAAGATTGTTTGAGAAAAACTAAAAATTATGAGATGAGACATATTTCTAAATAGTATTAATGTAAACCTAATAAGATTATTATAAGATTTCAACTAGTTTATTATTATTTATTGTGGTATAGTCAAAGGTGTGAGTGCATATTTTTATAAGTATTTGTTGAAAGATTTGGATTATGAACTTATCACAAACAATTGTCTCTAGAAGTGAGACTTCTGAAGGAGCTGACTTTTGGCTGGCTCTGAACCATCACACAGTATCTCCTTTGACCTTTTAATGACTCTGTGACTCAATTGTGCCTATTTTAGGGAATGAAAAGAATTCAGAGTAGAAGACAGGAGGCAGCATGCAGGGCAGCTTCCCTGCAGATGCGCCCCTCTATATCTCCGCAGATTCATCTATGAGGAACAGCAAACTACCATTTCAACAATCACTGTAACCTGTTCCGCAGACTCTTGGCACTGATTCATTCCCATTGAACATCCTAAATCTCAGAAATACACACAATGCCCAATAAATCCTTGGCATGTTATTTCATATTATGATGTCTGTTAAAGAAATAGCTAGTGGCGTGTGAAACAGGAACAGAAATATAATGTCAACAGATAACAGCCATGAGGAAAATGGATTTGGAAATGATAAAAAGGCAGTGAAAGCATAACTTGGACAAATGTCTTTCATTAAGGCCTAACTTTTGTGTCAGAAATCCATAAGCTCCTTCCTGTGTTTTCTATTATTTCAAGGCCTTTGGTATTTGATGGCTGGGAAGTAGGGGAAGAAATCATGTTAGGGGGATGTGAGAAAGGGAGAAAAAGGCAGAAGGCCGAGGTCAGGTTGTAGATATGCCACCAGGTTCTTGGGTGACTGATGACAGCACTTTATTTTAAGCGTAATGGTCAAAGAGATCCCCATGCCTCTTGACCTGCTAACAGAGTGAGATTCCTGAGGCCCGTGCTCCTCCAAAGGCAATTCATGACCAACCAAATAAAGTAGAACAGACTTTACCTTATCAACTACATATATTATCTGATTAAAAATGATCCTAATGACTTTTTGTTGCAGTCCAAACATTTTGCTTCCTATACAAAAAGTTACCTAAAACAGAAGAAAGTAAAATTATTGATGAATTCTGAAGTTCAAAGAAAACATATATAAATAATTATGAAAAATTCTAAAAGAATAAATAGAAAGTTCACACATAGTTTGATGTAGTTTTTGAAAAGAAAGTTCAAGAATCTGAGGACTGCACATTAAATCACTGCAGGATTAGAAAAGGAACAACAGCCACTCTCCAGGAGAAGTAGGGATGGGCCGGGCTATGAAACGTAACCAAACATCTTCTTAAATGCAGCCTACAGCGTGTGTTCTTAGCACAGATGCCCTGCAGTTAGCTCCATGAGTGTATCTATATCTATATCTATATCTATATCTATATCTATATCTATATCTATATCTATAGATATATATATGGAACAAGATTTTCTAACTTTTCTAGAGTCTAAACTAACCTACATATACAAAGAGTTTGGCACTGATTTTGCAGCTCGTCTCTAACATTATAAGGGTTTATAATAACCAATTTTCCAAGAAAGAAAAAGTGTTCAGTTGTTTTTGCAACCAATCGTGGCCATTATACAGAATTTCTACTCTTGTTTTGTTGCTAGAACACACAGGGAATCCTCTTAATGTGAATGCTTACTTCTCTATCTCTTCCTTGATAATAAAGCACGCTGTTTTGTGTCCTTGGTTACAGACCAAAGGCTCCCAAACCATGACTTCGTCTGGCTCCCAGAAGAAGGTGAAGAGAACGCTGCCCAACCCGCCGCCCGAGGAGGTGCCCGCGGGCTCCCCGGCCTCCTTTGGCGCCGGCGGCACGGCAACCCGCAGGCGGATCTGCAGGACCAACACCATGGCCCGCGCCAAGATCCTGCAGGACATCGACCGCGAGCTGGACCTCGTGGAGCGCGAGTCTGCGAAGCTCAGAAAGAAGCAGGCCGAGCTGGACGAGGAAGAGAAGGAGATAGACGCCAAACTGCGCTACCTGGAGATGGGCATCAACCGCAGGAAGGAGGCCCTGCTAAAGGAGCGCGAGAAGCGCGAGCGCGCCTACCTGCAGGGTGTGGCGGAGGACCGTGACTACATGTCGGACAGCGAGGTCAGCTCCACCAGGCCTGCCCGCGCCGAGAGCCCGCTGGGCGCCGAGCGGCCCAGGACTGCCCCGCAGGCAGACTTCAGCCCAGCCGAGCCCCAGCTGGCGCAGCCCGCTGGCGCCTACGCGCAGTTCCCGTTCTCCAGCCCTGCTCCACCCACCCAGGCGCCTGCACCCTATACGCAGCCCGCGTCCTTCCAGCCGCAGACGCTGTTCCACCAGCAGGCCACCCCCTACCAGACGCAGCCGGCTTTCCAGGCCGTGGCCACCATGACTTTCGCGCCACAGGCTCAGCCGGCGCCCAGCCCGCAGCCGTCCTTCCAGCTCCCATCCCCAATGGTGGTGATCCAGCCCAAGCCGCGCCAGGCCGCTCTGTACCTGGAGCCCAAAGTCACTGCCAGCTACGAGGTGATCCGCAGCCAGCCCCTGATGATTGCGCCTGCCTCCACCGACGGCTCGTACGCCGTGCCCCACCTGGGCAGTAAGTACAGCAGCCTGGACCTAAGACTGGGCCTGGAGGAGCGGGGCAGCATGGCCAGCAGCCCCATCTCCAGCATCTCGGCCGAGTCCTTCTACGCAGACATTGACCACCACACCTCGCGGAACTACGTCCTCATCGACGACCTTGGGGAGATCACCAAGGGAACTGCCTCACTCAGCACGGCCTTCAGCCTCCATGACAAGGACCTGTCCAAGTCAGACCGGCTGCTGAGAGCCACAGAGCCGCGCAGGTCCCAGGAGGTGACAGACTTCCTCGCACCTCTGCAGCCCTCCTCCAGGTTGCACAGTTATGTGAAGGCCGAGGAGGACCCCATGGAGGACCCCTACGAGTTAAAGCTCCTGAAGCATCAGATTAAACAAGAGTTTCGCAGAGGGACAGAAAGCCTGGATCACCTCGCTGGTCTCTCGCACTACTACCATGGGGACACCAGCTACCGCCACTTCCCCAAGTCCGAGAAGTACAGCATCAGCAGACTCACCCTTGAGAAGCAGGCGGCCAAGCAGCTGCCAGCAGCCATACTGTACCAAAAGCAGTCAAAGCATAAGAAGTCTCTGATTGATCCTAAAATGTCCAAGTTTTCACCTATTCAAGAAAGCAGAGACCTTGAACCTGACTATTCGAGCTACATGACTTCCAGCACTTTATCTATCGGTGGTATTTCTTCTAGGGCAAGACTTCTTCAGGATGACATCACTTTTGGCCTCAGAAAAAATATTACAGATCAACAAAAATTCATGGGGTCCTCCCTGGGCTCAGGCCTGGGCACTCTAGGTAATACCATTCGCTCAGCTTTGCAGGAGGAAGCAGACAAGCCCTATAGCAGTGGCAGCAGGTCCAGACCCTCCTCCCGACCATCCTCTGTCTACGGGCTTGACTTGTCAATCAAAAGGGATTCTTCCAGCTCATCTCTAAGGCTGAAGGCACAGGAGGCTGAAGCCCTTGACATTTCCTTTGGTCATGCATCCTCTTCGGCCAGAACTAAGCCCACCAGTCTACCAATTAGCCAGAGCCGGGGAAGGATCCCAATTGTGGCCCAGAATTCTGAAGAAGAAAGTCCCCTCAGTCCTGTGGGCCAACCCATGGGAATGGCCAGGGCGGCCGCTGGACCTCTGCCACCCATATCTGCAGATACAAGGGACCAGTTTGGCTCCAGTCATTCATTGCCTGAAGTCCAGCAGCACATGAGAGAGGAATCACGAACTCGGGGGTATGACAGGGACATAGCGGCCTTCATCATGGATGACTTCCAGCACGCCATGTCGGACAGTGAAGGTAAATCGGACCGCACGTCGCCCTGTTTCTCTCAACACTCAAACTTCCTTTTCTGCATGTTTTCTTTTTCCTCTCCAAAGATGGATTCTACCTTTTTTAGTGTGTTTTTTGCATGTTCACTTCAATTTTTTTTCTTGTACATGGAAATTTTATCTTGTATATGATTTTATGGCATGCTTTTCTTTATTTTCACTTTGTTCTTTTCACCTTGTGGTGTTTCTTGATTGCTTGGTTTGTTTTGTGCCTGCTTTTCTGAAGCCATTATCAAATAAGTCTATCAATAAAGTATGGGAATCATTTAAATCCACAGTTAGAAAGTTTCATTGTATCATTCTTTTGTTTATTTAAATACATTTTTTTCATTAATTTATTTTAGTTTGTGAGATGATTAGGAGTACAGTTATTAAATAACATTTGCTAGACTTTGTAATAATGATATCATTTTCATGAGATGAATGTTCAGCGGTTCAAAGAATGTCCTCTTTTTGAGCACTTAGGACCTGTCTCTGAATTAGTATCATGTAGAAATTTATCATTCTCATTAAATTAATAACATTAGTTGTATCTATCATGAATACTACCTTGACAAATTTATATACTGTATATTATATGCTAGAAAGTTTAGAACTAAAGATATTAAAATAACATTTCAGTATTATGAAACATTCTTTAGTTTTAAACTAAAATGTTTGTAAATTCCTTTGGGGTTTTAGCTAATGGGAGTTTGACCTTTCTGGTTTGTCCACTTGCCATTGCTTTTTCTATCATGCTATGGTTTTGTCTTTCATTTTTTTGCTAGTTGTTCATATAGAACATGCTATTTAAGGTATGTACACACAACTAAGAATTGATTCAAAGTGATTTTTTATTGTTTAATCATTCAGAGCCATAAGAACTTGGGAATTCTCTAATGTAAGTCTCCCTTTGGAAATAAGGGAGAAGCCACGCCATGATGGGAAGAGCCGTGCAATTGGAAGAGGGCTGACTCTTAATTGATTTTGTTCACTTTTTAAATTCCCTCTATGGCTTACATTTGATGTCAAATGCAGTTGGAATACTTGAAATAATTTTTTTCTGATCAAATAAAGGCACTATCACTTCAGTACTTTGGAGGCTCCAAAAAGCTAAACTAACATAAGCATCTCTCCTTTCAGAACAAGCTTCTTTCTTGACTCAAAGGAAAATATATTTCCATGAAAATGAATTCCTGTCTCTTGCTGTATTTAGACACAGATGAGTTTAGAAGTCAAGCCTAGCACTTCACAGAACTAAAATAGTCACTGGATCACACAGACGACAGGCTGCTTTCCTGTGTGATTCAAGTAGACTAGTCATTCTCTGATCTGCTTCCTTCTTCCCAGGCTATCTACTACTTTTATTGACAGATAGTCATATCAATAAAGCACCTTGTTTTTGTCTGTTTTACTTTAGCAATTGATTGAATAAATCAATAGATCTTAACAAAACTATAATAATTTTTAAATAGTCTTAAATATTTTCTTTATTTTTTCTGCACTCCACATTTTACAAACACTTTACATTGCTTTAGAATAAGGAGGTACTTCATTTGCCATATCTGTAGCAAAATAAAATCTCTAGAGGATCTATGGCATGATAAGCATAGCTCATCTATTTATTACTCGCAGATATTTCTAACATAATGGCAAGTATATGGACATCTATGGGCATCCCAGTATGTGGCATTCATCTACAGAAAACTATACCAAAATGACGGAGTGCTCACTGTTCTGTTCCCATTTACATATTTGATGTGCATACACAGTAATCAAGAGCCATGGAAGTTGTTTTTCAGAAAATAGATAATGAGACACGTTGCGGCCCACACAATTCTGAAGTCTGTAAAGATGATATCAAAGAATGCAATATAAATGAAATTTTATGAAGATACCTAAAATTAAACTGATAAAAATTTATCATAAAGATTATATTGATATACAATTAAAAAGCAACTATAAAATTCAATTTGATCTATAGTCTGAATGAATGATAGTGATCTTTAAAAGCTGCATATACTAAAGTTTTATAGATTTTCTTTTTCATATCATATACTACATTACTTTTCCCTTGTGAGAAGTTCTGTACTTTCCTTTTGAAATCTGGGGCTCCATGAGCATTTAAGGGACAATGTAGAAACTATATTTACCAGTCACGCACTTCCTGACATTTATAAACTCAGAGTAGTAGGCATTTCCTAAGTAACTGCTTGAGAAATGTATCCTATGTCTGTGCATATCACCATGACAACCTGGAGTGGTGTAATCTGAAGCTATTTAGTAACATCCAACGAGAAGAACTTAACTTCAGATCCCTTGCTGTACCTGTCCTTTCTCTGAGTTTAATTAAATTTTACATTTTAGTCTGTGCAGTATTTTTCAGATGTTTTACTCTGTAAAACTAATTTTTACTAGATCATGAGAAAATATAGACAGACACAATTTATACTGGTACATATACATGGGCATTAGCTTGAGACTGGACTAGAAACAGTCACATCATGTTTAGGTCTAGTGATAGAGCTCTTTGCTCAAGATATTCTTTCCATGTATACATGATCACATGTCTCCCCATGAAAATATCAATAGGCATCGTCTTTAATTTATTTATGTTTTTATTTATTACCTGGTACAGGGTTTTGCTACGCAGGTAAGACTTGTAGTGAGTCTCTCAGCTTCCCCAGCACTAGGATTACAGGTGTGCCCCACCATGCCTGCTTTTGGTGGGCAGCTCGACACAAGGTTGGCATAGTATGTGGTGCCAGGAATCAAACCTGGGTGCTTACACTTGCCAGGCAGTCACTTAGACCACAGAGCTATCTACCCAGCCCTGTGTAGACTTTTCAAAATATTTCACAAATATTTTATACTGAGAAGTAAATCATTTATGTAATTATTAATAGTAGATTCCCAAATTACTAATTTGTCTTTTGCAATAAAGAAGTAAACACAAATTATCAAGTTTTTAAAAAGAGGGTGTGTTAATCTCCAGTAAATTATTTCAATTAATTGAAACACTTAGCTATATTTATAAAATTTATTTTATAAAAATGTGTCTCTCCCACGGTGGAATCATTTATAAATAACTGACATTTGTGACAAGTCTCTAGAGATGAATGTAGAGTCCAGGACAAGTGTAGTTTCATCCAACCTGGCTGATCTTGGCTGATTTTGTGTTTCTATGCCAGGTAAGTACACTATTTAAAATAATAGCAAAAACCAAGATAGGTAATTGTAATTGTTAAGAGACAAAATTTGGGTCAAGTTGAGGCTCTGCCTATTGGCATGGACAGAGATCCGCAGAGTGTCACGTGTAGTTTTGGGAACTCCAGACTCATTAGGGAAGCTGCACACTCAATGTAAGGTATATACCACATTATTCAACACAGTCATCCATTAAAGACAGTATGGGTTATGGATTGTTAATTTATTTTTGTGAGAAATATAAAGTGGTATAACAAACTAGACAAAAACAGTGTTAGTGTGGTTAAGGATAATTTAAGAAATTTTCACACCGATGATTATTAAATGGTGCATTTTTTACTTATCAAATTCTCGTACGCTGTTTGTTTGTTTGTTTGTTTTGTTTTGTTTGTAAATCTAGCAACTTGCTTTCAAATTAAGGCCACAATAGCTATTCAATAGATGGTGAGAAAAAGATGTGTGAACTTCATGGAGAAATTTATCTTTATTTCAAAATGTATTTATCATGATTACTTAGCTTCTTTCTCTGGGGAGGGACTCATTCTGTCCCTCACTCATGCCACAAATGTGCACTGGTGTTTCGCCCTCTGTATGGCATTGCTTTTAATGCTGAGGCACGAAGGGTGAGACCAAGGTGATAGGTTCCTGGCCTCCACGAGGCATGCAGGTCCCTGGTGAGCTCAGTGTGCACGCACACCAACAGGGAGGTGCAGTTTGATCCCCTCGTGTCCAAGTCGGAGCACACCGAAGCTGGATCTCTCACTCTGTCTGGGAGGCACTGTGGCTCCGCAGCAGTGAAGCCGGTGCTCCCGAGGTCAGAGGTGTGCAGGGCGCAGGCACCGTGTACGTCCAGCTGCCAGCACAGGAGGCCATTGGCCTGCGAGCAGGGTCTGGGGAGTTTCAAAGAGAAGATATGTAAGAGTATAGCAGGAAAGGAAAACGAGGAGGTAGAGAGCACTGAGTAGTTTGGCATTTGGGACACCATGCCACGTTTGAAGACAGTTGGTTGGGGGCATCAAGGAGGAGCCTGTGCGTGGAGCCCTGGAGAAGGGTTCTGCAAATGCCTCTGGGGAGCCCAGCATCCCGAGGCTGCGCTGCAGGGCCATCACAGAGAACAGCAGTATTCAGCACAGGTCAGAGTGCAAGTGAGCTGCCTCAGGGCTGAGGCCCAGTGGAGTGGGCTGCCAGGGAACATAGCAACTGTGTACACAGAATATGGTTACATTTCCAGAAAGCAGTAGGTAGAATGTGATTTTATTTTTCTTGCAGTTCATTCTTAATTTCTAAATCAGTGGTTTCTTCAGAAAATGTTCTTTGTATTAAACATCTCATAGATATATTTTTAATTAAGTGATCAAATGCTCATGAAACACATGTTCCTAGCAATATGAGTATTGCTAGAAATAAATATTTTTGGTTTTTGTGAATATCATATTTTTTAAGTATTTACTTTTGTTTTCCTTATGTATTTGGTACAGGGTCTCACTATGCAGCTCAGACTCATAGTGATCCTCCTATCTTCAGCCTCCCCAGCGCTGAGATCATAGGTGTTCGCCACCATGCCCAGTCTTGGTGGCCAGCTCAGTGCTGACCACCCAGGGGGTGGGGCTGGCATGTCATGTGGTGCCAGGGATAGAACCACAGTCCCTGTGCTTGCCCAAGCACTGCCTTAGTTTGCTGAGCTATCTTGCTGTCCTTGGTACTATTTACTTATTGTCAAAGCCAGCAGCCATGTATTACTACTGGTTTTCCACAGTGACAGAAACTTTCATATTCAAGGAGTGCAATTTCTTGTAGTTTTGCCTGGGGGAGCGGGTCATAGGAAGGGTCTCGCAAATTGGAACCCATGGACTGTGCATGCCTAGGCAAGTGCAGGGACTGGGGTTCAATCCCTGGCACCACGTGGTGCACTGGCCCTGCCCCCTGGGCATGCTGAGCTGGCACATGCCTGTAATCCCAGTGCTGAAAACAAGAGGAATGCTACAAGTCTGAGCTGCATAGTGAACTCTACCAAATATATATATATATATATATATATATATATATATATATATATATATATACATATAATACTATATATAATGCATTTCATTTTATCCTGATGTAAAATTTGATGTCCTTTTCTTTTATGTTGCTTTAAATAAGTGTGTAGGTGACTATAGGATAAAAGTGTTTAGCACACTGTTACCTCTAACATAATCATGAAACAGACGCTCGGGTTCCCTTGGGAGCCTGCTGGAAATGCATTTGTGCAGAGCAGCCTAGTGCACATGTGGTGTCTGTGCAACTGTGATGTTTCCTTGGTCTCCAAAGCCTATCACTTGCGTCGGGAGGAAACGGATTGGTTTGATAAACCCAGAGAATCACGTTTGGAGAATGGACATCTGGACCGAAAACTGCCAGAAAGATTGGTTCACTCGCGACCGCTCAGTCAGCATCAGGAACAAGTAAGTGCTGTGTTTAGTAACCATGTTAGAGTTTTCAAGGGTCAGCTCTACCCTAGTATGGTGTTGTCTGGGGTCAGGAATGGCTTAAAGGAGGGCTTTACTTCACCAGTAATGTGAGACTTAGAATCAAAGCTGTGACACTTGTGCAGACAGTATAAGCGCCCTGCTCCCCCCACAGATGCTTAGCGTGTTGATGTAACGTGTCCAGCACTGGCACACAAGGGCCACGTGCGAGTCCTGCAGAGCTGGCGAGGATGCTGAGTGCAGCAGATTCTGCGACCTTCATGCTTCCAGTTCTGGTGTCCTCGGGGACTGAGACAGCAAAGGACAGGAGTCCAAACCAAGTCTGCTGAGGGTGAAAGATGTGGCCAGCCCAGGACAGCCATGCAGGCCAGGAGCGAGGGCACTGCCTGATGCCTCGGGGTCTCCAGCACAAACAGGAAGCAGTTAAGGGACTAGCACGGCAATGGTTTGCTCTTTGTTGCAGACATTACTTATGAGGTAACCTGGTCTTTAATTATATCACATCCCAAAGTTTAATTATAAAATTCAAAATTCACACTGTCTGCATTAATACTTATCCTCAAATCCTGCCTCCTGCCTGAACTCCCTGGGAGTATATTTTGGCCTGGAGAACAGTCAAGTGGCATTTTCATCTCACTCCCTTCTTTGCAGCTTTTGTCATAAAAAGGTAATATTGAGCTCTTGATACCAATAAATGCAGATGTTTTTATTTGAAAATACACACACATAACAATTTATACTTTTTTTTGGGGGGGGGACCAGGGATTGAATTCAGGCCCTTGCACTTGCCAGGAAGTGCGTATTCCACTGAGCCATCTCCCTGGCCCCACAGTTTATACTTTAAGGTATGCTGGAAGCAAAGGAATAACAGCAAATTAATGAATGCAAGCACTAATTTATCTGCTTTAAAATACCATATGTAAAACACACATTAGAGAGATAGAAGGATATCTTTGAAAAATTTTATTAGACTCAGGACCATATTCTCTACAGGAATGACCAAATCTGCAGGGCTGTTTTCTTTCCTCTCAAATATATGTGTTTCTGTTTTATTTCTGCAGTTTTCAGTGGAGATCTAGCTCCACTCTGTGCTCTGAATAGGTCACTTACCACTAAGGCTTTCCCCCCATCGCCTGTCTATGAAACATACCCTGTGCAGCGGCGTGGTCAGCACACTACTTGTCTAAAAGCAAGGCCGTTGCCCAGCTGAGCCCTCTGCCCTGGGACAGGGCTGTGTTCTCAGGGCAGGCCATTCTCTCTCCTGGGCCAGGAAACTTACTCCTCTCCTCTTGGGGAGCTCTGGGCAGCATTCTGGCCCCACGGCCGGTCCCTGTCTTATAGGAAGACATCCTTGGCACTACCCCACTACCTCCTCTGGTCTGAGTAGCAGCCAGTGCTCGGTCCCGGGCTGGCAGCACCTGGAGTGAAGGGCTCTCGGTCCCACCCAGCAGGGGTAGACAGAGCTGTGTCTCACCTGGAAAAGTACTTAGAACACACTATGCCCTGAATCAGCCTGCAGTGCATAAGGAAGGGCAGCACAAATATCTACACAAATAGGGGATGACACCAGTGCTATTCATGACTTTGAAGGCTCAACTTAAAAAAAAAGATTCATTTTGAAATATTTGTAATTAAGGAAGGAAAGGAAGATTGTTCTGAGTGGCCTGAGATGATAGTTCTGTCTTTGCTGAGTCATAAGAAAGCAAGGACAACAGAGTGTATATCTTGGTGCGGGGAAGCACACTGGCCCCTCAGCTCCACCCTGGTCTTGACACTGTTCCTATCTGGTAAAGGCAGTGCATGCTAGAGAACTGTCCACATCATCTGCCATAATTAGCAGAACACCTGAGACCCATCTGCACTATGTGGGGGAAGGTACCCCTATTTCCTGTAGATTCTTCATCACATTGATCGTATGATGGCAGATGAAAGGTTTTTTGTTTTGTTTTGTTTTGTTTTTTTTGTCGTTTT